GGGCTGTGAGCAGTCAGAGCTGTGGCTCCGCGAAAGAGCAAACAGAGGAAGAAAAATGGTAACTCATTCCTCCGTTTACTCCCTTCCTTTTTCAGTTTATCCTGGTTGAATGAGGACATTTTTGTTCACATGAATCTTCAAGTTCATACTCCTTACCAAACCCACGTAACTGTCCTTCAGCTCCTCAAACCCCTCATGGGTTAGGCATTGAACTATAGTGCTCCTCACTCCGTCCAGTCCGCTTGATATAATCACACCCTTTCCTCTTTTCATCCATCCCCCTCTACTCGTTCACAATTATCTGTGGAGCAAGACAAAGGCCTCTAGTTTCTCGGGGATGTTTCCCCGGTAGTTGAGGCTGTGCTTGATGATGGCCCTGGCGGCTAGGCACTGCAGCGTGGTGTGGTTTATGGGCTGGATGACATTCCTGGAGAGCTCCTTCTCGTCCAGGAGGTCGCAGGCTGTTTGTTGGAAGGCGTTGGTGCTGTCAAAGTGAGTCCCGCATGAAATCAGCAGGTTCATGATGTCCGGGTGACCATTGGACGCGGCGATGTGAAGGGGGCTGGTGGGTTGGAAAAGATAATAGATATGAGATTAAACAGTTAAGTATTCTTCTTAGTTTACAATATAAGAGATACAATTGTTGTTTGAACCCCGTTTCTTATTAACAAAATGATTGGCAAAAGTTAAAACCAGGACAGGGAAAGAACAGATGGGAGCTGAAACTGGTGTAGGAGAAAAATAATAAATAACAAACCTGTTGTCATCTTCATCGCGGCAGTTAACGTCCGCCCCACACTCGAGAAGGATGGAAGCGACTGTGAGGGAGGGGAACTTGCAGACGGGATAGCGGCCCACACAGGTGGTGTTGCGGTCGACCGCCAGGTGTAGTGGACTGTAGCCATTCTTACCGCACGGCTGAAGCTTCAGGAATCTGTAGATATGGAAAGGACGTCAACTTTTCCGTCAAGGAATAGCAACAAAGTGATAATTATCTAGTCCCAAGTCCCAACTGACAATGAGAACTTTAAGTGAGACATAAAGACAAGACGTCTTTATGATTAAATGACAGTTTATTTTCTGAAAAAAAGGGCGATGCAAAAGCGCTCTGGCACCCTGACTGGCAGAACAAATACAAGGCAGGGCATGAAAAAGACTTTCAGAAATGAGGTCAAAGAAAATCACAAAACATGTGCGTTCCCTCCCTCCATGTTTGAAGTGGATGACACACATGAATGGCCTCCCTCTATATTTGAAGATTTTCCATCACTGAACACAACTTGCTGCCAATACAAGTAAACTACACACAAACTCACCTATAGATAGTTTCCTTCTTAAAGTGGTCCTGCTCTGCAGTACACGGCACCTTCTCTAAAAGACAAATGAGGTGCAGGATGATTGACAGGGCCTTGCTAAGCTGGGCAGGGTCAGGAGGCATAGGTCCGTTTTGTTTAACCGCCCGCTCGATCTCCAACACACTTTTGGAAAGGATCCCCATCAAGTCCTCAAATGACACCGATGTCCCCAGGAGCCCCTTGGCCCTGTCCTGCAGCATGAAGGAGAAGAGCTCAGCGAACGACAGCAGGCTGGAGGCTGTCATGGGGCTGAGCGGGTCCAGGTTGCTCTGCTGCATGTCCAGCGCATACTTCCACAGATTGATACAGCGCTCAAAGTTCCCAGAGTCAGCATAGACAGCACCGCGGTAACGGATGTAGTAAGAGGTGTCTGGGTGCTGGGGGCCGAGGATCCTCTCTCGGATGAGCAGGGCCTGCATGCGCATCTCATCCGGGTCAGATATCAGCCCATCCAGCTCTTCTCCGTTTGTTACCTGGGATTAGGATTACAAGGTGAAGACAATGACAGGGTTCAGCGATTTAAGCAGTTTAGGGTTTCCGTGTACATGCAATGAAGTCAGGCTTTCCAGAAGCAAATAGCTTTAACACCTGACACCAGACTCTTACTGTAGGTTCGCTGATGAATATAAATCAAGCATAACACTTTTTTTTTTTTTTTTAAATTGTTTCCTTTGTGTCTAAGAACCATTTTTGTGGAAAAAAAGCCTCCGACTGTGACTTCCAATATTTTTCCTGTACAGTGAATTTAAAAGTAGTCACCTTTCTTAAACTGTGTGCCACCTGCACTAAAATATAACCACGTCAGCAATAGTAAAACCCACTTCACGAACGTTAAATGCAATGCAGAATCACCCAGGGGTAGTGTTCGGTTTGGAAAGAGCGACTCAAACTGAAACTCACCTCTTTGGCGTAGTCGTATGCCATGATCAGCTGCTTGGGTTCCGGTTTATGGACAATGTTGTTACTGTCCATGTACCTGAGGTCCATGGCTCTCTTCCAGTATTTTAAAGCTCCGAGCAGATCTCTCTTCTTGTCAACAAACGTGGCTCCCAAGAGCTCCAAGGCATCGATGCGCTCCATGGGGCTCGTCTACGGAACAACAGAACAACATAATTCAATAGATTCAAAAACATCATAGCCACAACTTCACACACACACACACTCTCCATTGTAAGTGACAGAAACCCTGACCTGCTGGTGCGTTGTCAGTTCGTCTACAATGTTCGTGTGGCCTGTGACGCTGGCAGAGAGCAGGGGTGTCATGCCGTAACCGTCCTGCTCCATGGATGCCCCATACTGCAGTAACATCCGCATGATCTCCAGACTTCCCGACTCTGCACAGTCATGAAGTGCCGTGTTGCCTGCGCACAGAAGAGGACACACGTGCCTTACACTAAGATACAGAAGCTTCGTTATATGTTCATGCAGTGCGGGGTTTGTGTTTATATTTAGTTAACCAGTAACGCTAGAGGATCTGCAGATACACTTCCACTGGTAAAGCCTAATATAGTTTTAGTGCTGGTAATTATTCACCAACTGGCACTTAAGTAGATTATTAGGTTTAGTATAATAACTTCCTTATTGTTTCTACATAGACAATCAGAGTTAGCTAGAAGTCAGCTGCACACTGTCATTCTTCTTGGAATATATTCAAAATGGCTGCAGATCTGCTGATACCATGATCATTGTGGATTCTGCCTTTCAGTTCTTGTTACACGCTCATTTCCACCCAATGATTCACAATCATATGTGCATGCAATTCTCCACACCACTCACTCGGATAGAAAACAGCAGGTCACGCTGCCACTAGCTCTAGTTTAATGGGTAAAGCGACTGAGCAGGAGCTTTCCAGCGGGGATGTCGGCTCAACTGCAGCAAACCTGTTTGTAACGATTTCTCCATTAAACAACCCTCTCCTGACACTGTGCAATGTGGTCCGAGTTGTTTTCTTTCACTTGGTGGGTGTGTCACGTCATGGGTGAAACCTGGAGAGGCTGTGATTGAAGACATTTTTGGTATTCTGAACAGCCACGTAATGGAGCACTTTGTGAACTGTAACAAATGTATTCAAGTCCTCACTGAAAGCGTGCAATATCACAATTTCAGCTTATGTATGTGCGGCCGGTGCTGAGGCTGACTGTTTGAGTGGAAAGACTGAAGGGAGCCCTAGAAAAAGCTCTTTTCAGTGTTTAATGAGTAAAGCAAGAAGTCCTTCTGTATAAAATGCAGAAGTTATTGTGAATAACACTTCAGTATATGCTGCGACGTGACGATTAATGTGTTTGTGAAAGTTAAAAGAAAAAAAACGTACAAGTAAATCACAACAACAACAACAACAACAACAACAACAACAACAACAGATCCTGACCAGCCAATCATTTCAATATCAAACTTTAGTGTAATGCTTTGCTTTCGCTTCCCTCTAGCCTGGCCACTCTCAGTACACTCAGGCTAATCCATATTCAAGCAGACGAGACCAAACAGGGTTAGTCAGGGATTAACCATTATGTATACTCTCCAGTTTCTTCCCAAACTACGCCAATCAGATTATTTTATTCTTGACAATGGAAACTTGGGGAGAGAAGCACTGTAGCGTCTCCTCTAGTATATCATTGACAGGGCAAGCTGGGTTAAGAGCGCAGAAAAAAAAATATTTAAAATGGCTGTGGGTGGTTAAATGCTTTTAAGTGATTACACAGTCAATACTTTAACATTTTTTATATAATAAATTGTCTCTTCTGGAGGAATATTACACTATTTTTAATCACCATGTTACCTGAAATTAACCACAACGCCTCTTTTGGGTCTCTAAATCAGCTTCCACTGGATTTGACACCATTTGTAGGGGGAAACATGTTCACTAGTCTTAATTTTTTTACCACATCGACAGTTTTACGTGGTGTAGAAAATGTGTTGAGCGTTGCTTGTTGAGATGATAAATTCCCTACCACTAACAAAACAAGTTAATCCAGAAACTTGGGAAATCCCTTCCACAGCCAGGGATTAGTGTGAAAACTCATTATGTGTCTCTAAACAGAATTTAGGCTACCTTTAAAGCCAAGTGAGGAGAGCACCTCACTAACAGGTGTTGTTGCTGAACGAAGAGAGCTTTTTTTTTTTTTTATAAACAGTTCAACCGGCTGCTGTGATTGCGGTGGCCTGACAATTTTCCACCGAACTTCCGACAAAACGTCCATTGTTTTGGGGGAAATTTGAAACTTCGTTATCTAATATTACACATCTACTCCTTCCTGTCGGGTCAGCTGTTATGGGAAAGGCAACAGTCTGAATAGTGGGCGAGTAAGACCTCCTCAGTCGTCACATGATGCTGTCAAGCTCACTTGTAATGATGTGTGCACAATAGATCCTCTTGCTCTTCTACTTGCCTGACTTTAGCGTTTCGGATGTTGATGGAGTGAACGAATGAAGTGGCCGAGGACGGTTTTGTGTAGGAGGTGGACACGCAAAAGTGAAGTGAATATTAACACAGACGCCACATGTATTTTGAGAGCAAGATCATTTGGAGCACACTGAGCGAACAGCTGGTCAAAAAGGGGAAGTGGACTATTGTTTGAGACGTTTTAAAGGACGTTTTGGTCACTCAAATTCACTGTAACGAACATGGATTCAAGGAACAAGGAAGGAACAACACATTTCTCAGAATTCTTACCCATCCACAGTGGTGGATACAGAAGATTATTAAATGCAGGATGTCACTTTAATTCCTTTCTTTTCAAGCAATCCTGTGGTCTGTGACTTTATAAAAAAAATACTAATAATAAAAAACAGATGGTCACTGGTTTTCATGCATTTATAAAATACCATCTAAGGAGAAAAGAAGATCTTTCAGACACACCCACAGCATCGGTCCAAGCCGACTAGTCATCATCACAGCTTTCCATTGTGAAACCAGAAGTTCGTGTTTTTTGTTTTTTTATGTTGAGTCATTTCTCATGGGAAAACGCAAATCCTTTTTTATTGATCATCTCATATCGTTGTTACAGCAAAGTGAACAAATCTCCCCACATAAAAAAAAAAAAAAAACACTTGCTATGCAGCCAATAAAAACACCTTTATCTGCAGAACCAGTCCCTCATCTCAGGGTCAGACAGCATGTGAATAAAGGACGAAACTGCACACTCACAGCCAAAAATCCGCACTCACCTTTTACACTTTTCCTGTTGACATCTGCTCCTTTCTCCAGCAGGTACTGCGCTATGTCCTTGTGTCCCTTGTAGCAGGAGATCATGAGACACGTGTGCCCGTGTCTGTTGGCCACCTCCAGGTCCGCTTTGTGCTCCACCAGGTACTTCACAATGTCCAGGTGGCCATCAAAGCAGGCTGCCCTCAGCGGTGTGGAGTTGGTCAGGGTCGTGCTGTTGACAGAAGCCCCGTGGCCCAGCAGGGACTGGACCACTTTGAGGTGACCCGCCGCCGAGGCCGCCCACAGAGGGGGCGCTCCCTCGATGGTCTCCCCGTCAAAGTTCACCGACCCACCGACCTCCACGGGAGCGCTGCAGCACTCCAGCAGGTACTCTACCAGGTCCAGGTGGCCGTACCGGGAGGCCATCAGGAGCGGGGTGGCCCCGTTTGTCTTCTCGCCCATCAGCTTGGTCACCTCGTGTCCATCTTTGTTCTCCAGCAGTTTCTGAAGCAGACGGAGCTTACCGTCCCTGGCTGCGTTAAAAACTGCGGTCTTTAAATCCATCTCTGAGTGCAAAGTGTTCACTGTTGAATAAGAAATATATAAAAAGAACTAAACACAAAAAAAAAGCCAGCCAGCGCTGTCCGTGAACCCCGAGGTGTAACCGTGTCCGTGGACCGGTGCAGCTCGGACCCTCTTTGTTTACAACAAGCTCGGACTTTTATAGCGAACGTATTTTCTCTCTTCTGGGGTTAAAACAGCAATACGTGACTTTGTATAAAAACTTCAGCTTCTCAAAACAAATGTCTCATCACCTGCCTGTTCTATGAATCTCCAGCTCTGATTAAACAACTCGGTCTTTTCTCTTTCCAACCACAAACCTTTGGTGCGGTTAATTGTCGCCGAGTTAGCAAGGTGGCTAGTCAACTTCCTTGATCAACGTGAGCTAACCGACTAGCTTCGCTCTCTCTCTCTCTTTTATTTTATTTTATTGATCGCTCAGCCGATACTCATCCGTTGACACGTCTCCCCCCTTTTCCAACAAGCTCTCCCCCATTAGCTCCGCTTCCCGTGCTTGTCATCGCCTCACAACATACTCCTGAGACGCTACTTACATTTGCTTTCGGAGGGCCGACGCAGACATCCACCCCCACCCGTAACGCTGTTAGCTTAGCCTGGGAAAACGACGTTCGCTCCGTTGTTCGTCCAACCGAACCGGAGGAGGGGATATCCCCGGTGTCCGAGTCCGTTTCTCCCTCTCTCTCTCACCCACACACACACACACACACCGAGACACAAAACGACCGACGTTACCCCCCTCAGTGCAGCGGATAGTCGTCCCGAGCAAGCTGGCAGCGACGGTATAATCTCAGCGCAGGGGGAGGTAAACAGGGAAGGCGATCCACCCACGGCTCCACCGGATGATCACGACTCAGTTTCTGTCAAATCGCGAACCCAACGCACCCTTTTTTCTCGACTAACGCGGGTGATTGACGCGAGGAAGCACCAATCGGGGAGCTGGTACGCGATGACGTAGCCAATAATAATAATAAGAATAATAAGAATAATTTTTAAAAAGAGAGAGAGAGAGAGAGAGAGTTGTTGCTTTAAAAGTAGTTGTGGAAATAAGAACCATGGATGAGGAAACCTAAGATTAAATGATCTTCTTTGTGTGTGCCGGATTAAGAATTGTTTTTAAATGTTGTATGGATGCAAAAGCTGACAGTGATGGCCTTGACTATATCACTCCCTGCAGGATAACAGAAGCATGACCAGGGGGATGTATCCAGAAACTTCATCCCCAGGTGCAGATCCGATGTTTTTTTTGCCCGTATGCAACTCATACCATGCCACCATAAATCACAACTTTGTCGAGGCTCGCCATATCATTCAAAAAGTACTGCACAGGGAATCATTTCTTTTTGTCAAACATTATTTGTTCCACCATTTCAATCATTTCTTTTTAGATGTGAATCTAAAATGTGAAGAATGTGAAGTCTGAAAATACATTTGTTCAATTTTGAATAATTTAGGGTATTTTTATTTGGGGGGGACAATTCATGTTTTTTTCAGAAATTGGGGATCTGCACCCATGCCCAAGTGTGTACATTATTGTTATTAAATACAAGCATAACCCCCAAACATTTAAACAGAAAGTTTATTCAGCCATCCCAATAACTTAACAAAGTTCCCAGAATGCCTCAGGGCTGAATGTGTGTCCAAAACTGACCGGCCAGTGCAAATATCTAAAAGTGAAATGGCAGCACTGATCAAACCGATCCATGGCGAGAGAAAGGAAAGCATAACAAAAGGAAGAAAGCCAAGGCCAGGACTAATAAATGGCAATAATAATAAGTCTTTTAGCAGTTCTTCCACATGTCTGGAATTAATTCTGACAGTTACACAAGACCAAACTATAAAAGTCAAGTCTTTCAGTGGATTAGGCTTAGTAGTAATCCGTCTTTGTTGTAAATATAAAAGTTATATTTATGATAAAATTCTCACATTACAACAGTGACGTCTTCTATCTCTGCCAGGAATTGATCTGATGTTGTGTACTGTGTGAAATTATACATGTGAACTGCAAAATGACTATTATCTCATGTTTAAGCCATGCCTGTGTCTAAAAGCTGTCAGATATTGTATGTAAATCAGTGATTAGTGAGACAAAGATTGACCCGCTGACTGACCGACAGACTGAACTAAGCCTGCAACTGCTATATGTAGTGCTTCCTGAAAATCTGAAGAATGAAACTTGCACATTTTTCATTTCAGTATTGCCAAGTAATTAAATCAGAGGATAAAAAATGATTGAGGAAAGAGCCACAACCAGTCATATTAGAGAAATATGTCAAGATCTTCCTCCCTCCTTTAGAGAACAGACTAATCAGTGAGGGGATCGAATCTCAAATTACAACTACAACTCAAAGTTACTAGAATTATCTTATATTCAAGCAGTATTTTTGCAAAACAACACCAATTTTACAACAGTGGTGTATAAAACCAAGAGGACAATATCAGCCCGAGAGATAAATAAGTTGTTACACTTCAAACAGCAAAGGCAGAATTAGACATTGGAACACAACCAGTGAAAGACAAAGTTTTTATAACAAGTTGGTGCACTTAAAATTGCTGGCATTGCCACTTGACACACAAAATGTGTCATTTTTAAAACATAATAATAGTATTAGTTATTTCTTCTTTTCTTTTTTTGTCTCCCACACTAAATCACATTGATGTAATAAAGAAGCCCCAACCTGTACCTGGAGACCACTCACCTAGGTGTGGTCAAAAGTATGACTTTAGCTCAATGTATAATCGAGCAAATGGAATCTAGAAATCAAAAAACTGACTTAATTTACTAAAGGAATTGGTCGCAATCTCACAAGGAGACCGTCTACGTCTCTAAATTCAACCCTTCAACCCAAATACAAACCTTTTTTAAGCTATTAAAAGATTAAAGGATGGCTTACTCTCTGTACTGCATACTCCCTTCTAATAACGCCTCTAAAATGACAAAGCTGATAAAAGCAAACACAAAATCTAGTCTTTCTCACTTAATACAGTGAGGTTTAATAACAATGAAAAAAAATAAAACAACAGACTTTTCATAACCAAATCCTTTGCCTTGCCAATGTGGTTTTAGAGCCCCAATGCTCTGCAGATAAGGAAAGAAATCCTCGAGTACATTAAGTCACAACTTCCACTGCCTTGGTTATTTCAGTGCACAGTTTGGGATGAAAAATGAAACAGATCAGGGAGAGGGGGTCTGAGATAATAGGGATCGAAAAGGACACAAATAAAATGAGAACACATTTAGAAATAATTTCAAATATTTAAAGTATTTACGGTTTGCTTCAACTATATGACCAGTGGCTTGACCTGCCTCCAATACAAATAGTTACAAGCAAGCATTTCTTCCGGTTCTCTTTTACCCCCTCAAAAACAATTCAAACACAAATAACCTTTTTCCTCCTAATTTGCATAAAGTTTGTAAGAATACCAATGCTGAATGAGGATGACATGTCAGGTTGTATGACCTGGCAGTTTGATATGATCCAATTTCAGATCAGCACTAATATTCTGACTCGCTCTACGCACACAAGCCCAGGTACGGATAAAGAAACAGATGAATCAGATCCCAGGGCTCAGAGAGTGTTATGATCCGACGCGTGTTGTAGTGGTCTTCTTGTCGGAGAAGAAGCTTCTCAGCAGGACCACCTGACTGATGCTGACCACCAAAAGGATAATGGCTTCTCCGATGGACCAGAATGCAACACGGGTGTTCAGGTCCTCTGCCCGACTGCGTCCCTGGGCCTCACGGAGGCGGAAGTGTGTCTGGTAGTCGATAACCGACTTCAGGGCTTCGTGGATGGACACGCAGGCTGATTCCATCTAGGAATGGGAACAAAATGGAAGCAAACACCAATAGAAGATATTTAGAGTGGCTGAAAATGAATGATTGATCAGCTAACAAGATGACAATTTTAACTTTAAAATCACAAACTAGTGGGAAAAAAGTTAATACATCCTCAAATTTGTAAAATGAAGCAACATAAATTTAGAGTAATCAGATATTTTAACCGCACAACCATCCATCCCCCTTTAGGATTTAGAATCAAGCATCTAACTAGTTTATTGCTATAAAATATTAGGTTAACTGGGATAAGTAGTTCACAGTAGTATGTCCACAACTGCCCGTAAAAAATACGATCGAATGTTCAGTTTGGTCACTACAACAAACACTTGTGGTTTATTATATTTTCTGTCTAAACATTTATCTTGTAGTTGCCAGCACCTCCGGCCTTGCAGTACATGCAAAGTGCTTTTATCTTTTTCAGTATATTGTCTTTTATTCTGCCAGCTTATGTCAATCCTGGTTAAAACTATAGATGCTCTTATAGGCAATGAGAGTATTTAGTGTCGGTGGAGCTTGGCTGGAAATTTGTAGAAGTCACAAAACTACATGTTCTAATAGGAAATGCAAAGATGTTGGTTGTTGGAGTAAGAGAGATGTTGAAAAGTGTATCATCTCATGCTGTCTGGAATAAGACCTGGAAACCTATAGTTTCTTAGTCAAATTTGGGCTTATGCAGATACATGTATACAATTATGTGTGATATACTCAGTATTATAAAACCAAATTTGGAGGAGAAACCCAAGAAAAAAAAATCACTACCTCACACACAAACATGCCAATGCTTTGTTCGGTTCAATCCCTGGCCATCGGTATGTGCGTGTGTGTGAATGAGCGTGGGTTTCTGTTTCTGATGAGAACCTTGCGTAGCCATCGGTGTGAATGGTAAATGTTGGCACGTAGTGTAAAGTGGTTTATGTGGTCAGTAGACTAGAAAGGGCCTATATAAATGCAGTCCATTTACCAAATGCATGAGCTAGTGCGTCCTCACACACACATACCTGGGTGAGAGCGGTTACTCTGTTCTCGTTAGGGAAGAGTGGAGGGTCATCGCCGACCTGGAAGTCAAAATAAACGGTCTTGTGTGTGAAGGTGGAGAACTCATTACTGAAGCAGAACTTGTAGGTGCCATTCTTGGACGCAGTGAAGGTAAAGCTGTCATATTGCTTCTTCATCTCCTTGTAGAGTGTAGTGCCATCTGGGTCTTCCAAACGACAGTCCACGTCATAATGGCCACCTGTCACCACCTGGGAACACGTAAAGACAGAAAGACCATCAATTCAGTACGTTTTGTTTTTTTTTTCTCTGCAAAACATTATAAATTGTCTCAAGTTGTATAGAGAGAAAGAATAAGGGTGGACACAAAACTCAGGATTAACACACCCAAATATTACTATACAGACTTTACAAGTAAAACCACTATAATAAATACTGAATCATTGCTGAGCACTAGGAAAGAGGTACATCAGTTGCCTGTGAGGGTTTGCTATTATCTAATTTAAAAAAAAAAAAAAGAAATTTAAAGCACAAATATTGCTCTCTCTAAGCCGTCTAAGGCAAATGTGGGCAATAATACGGGCGTTTAGTTTCACACAACTGGTTTTCACATTTCCCCTGATTGTTTGACAGCTTCAGCTTAGTACAGAACTAAACTAACATAAAACAACGCTGTTAAAACACGGTAAACAGACAATCAGAATCAGAATCAGCGTTGTCAAAACAAAGGTTGTTGGACAACCGGATATAAACAATAGAAAAATGACGACAAACCATGAAAACTGGCACACTCACAGATTTATATGAATATATGTATAAATCACATGGTTTATTGTATATTGTAATTAAATATAAAAACAGCTTACTAGCACATCATTCATATTAAAATGATCTTACCCACAGAGGACATCAGCCAACAATACTTTACTCATTTAAGCATCCATACAGCACTAAAAAATACAAGACTCCTCTGTGTGTGTAAAACAATATTTAAAACCTTTGCTGTGTTTACTTTAGAAAGTTTACGATGTAACATCATTCAACAGTCAGATAAGTGCTCATATGAAGCTGTGCCTAGCCTCGGGGTGTTCATCTTTGAAGCCAGTCTGGTTCAACTCGTTAAAAAAAAAGACAACATCCCATTAGGACAACTCATAACACTTAGCTGTGGGCTGGAACAGGACCCCACGCACCTGAAACTCCAGTGTACACTTGGTGCCGATGATGATGTCCTCGTAGAAACACTGCTTGGCGTTGTCTGGCAGCTCAAAAGTTAGCTCGGAGCCTAGCACCCACCCACAGAGCAGCTGGGCCCACAGCACCTGCAGCAGCACCCGAAACGATCCGCACATCCTGAAGACCAAGGCCCAAGCTTCAAAGCAACAACCTGAGCGGACCTGCCGGAATAAACATGAGCAGGAATCAAACTAAAACCAGCGCCGAGGGTGGCAGAAAGACACAAACGGTGACAAAGCAAACCCGGACATGGATATCAGCGACAAGTTAAAGCTAACTAGCTGGCCAACTAGCCTTTAGCTGTATTTTAAAAACAAAAAAAAAACACTTGGAATTTGTAACATTTCACTGTAGCTGGTGTATTCGCGCATTATTGGCGCATTATTGTAATTTAAGTTACAGTAAAATCAAACATAAACATTTGTTAATTCATTATTTTGTCTCAATCTGTGTTAGCTACTCACCACAAAGTGCTCACCCGGATGCGACTAAGGCTAAGTAACGTATTACAAACGTGGCACGCCATTGGCTGTCATCTGTGGAGGCCCGCCCCCCCGGCTCTCTCTGATTGGTCAGAAAATAATGGGAGGGGCGTTTGTTGGATGACGTGGAGCAACGTCACATTCTGGGAAGTGGATCTGCTTTGTTCAATACAGTCCAACGTGGCCGCTGTAACGTGGTTACATGTAACGTTGCGTGTGGAAAAATACGTTTTTTTCATAGGGAATTTATCAGATACAGTACATTTTATATTTTAGAAGCTTTCAAACAAGAATCTACAAATACAAAATCTCAAATGAATGCGCTCAACAGAAGTCCAAAATCCAAATCAGTCCCCAGTCATGACAACTTTTCTTGGGGGTGCCCAGAATTATGCAAGGACCACTGTTTTTAAAGGACTTATGAGGCTATATCCATATAAAGACACGGGTTCCTAAGAACTGATGGTGTATCAGATTCTGTGCTTCCCTTGGATACCCTTTTTTTTCCAGTTATGAGACTTATGAGACAATGGGTTGTTATTGTGTCTGAAGGTGTTCCTATATTCTAATATATGTGCAATATACTAATGATAATGGTGAGAGTAAGTGTGTAGTACAGCAGCAAAATATTAACCCTTATGAAGTAACTAAGGCTATTATGGACAACTGAGAACCGTGCCTCATAGATGAGATAAAAGAACTATAGTAGCAGACCTATTTTGGATTTCATATAGCTCTACAGATGATGGTTGTGGTCACCACAGAGACACTGAATATCAGACACGGACTCCAAGTCCTCCTCAGTAGATGACGTTCCTTCATGTGGAGGTTATCTGTGTTGTCAAACGTCTCCAGCTTGTTGTTGAGTTGGATATATATCTTTTATATATCATAAACTCCCTGGAAGTTGTCTTCAAAGCTGCTTTATCCTTAAAATAAACGTTTTGCTCTATAAAATTGTGGTCGTACTCAGTGATCTTTAAACCAGCATGTAGTTAATTAGATGAACAACCTAAAATATAATAGAATGCCTTTATTGTCACTATAAACATGTACAATGAGACAGAAAAACAGTGTAAGAAATATAAAAAGTATACAGTATAAACAGGACATAAAGTAAATAAACCTCTTTGGAGACTTCCTATGCCCCCAACATACAGCCATGGTAGTTGAAACTGGGTCAGTAAATATTATGCTTATTATACTATGCCTTTGCATGACAAATATTACAACTTTACAATAAAACCTAAGTTCTTTCTGGTCTCTCCTACACAGCTCAGTGCAGAGTATAAAGGCCACAGTGTCTGTATCTATTCTGAGGCCTCGGCAGGGCCCACAGAAGTATTCATATATCATAATGAATTCATTTCGTCTCACTCTGTGCATGATGCGCACTGAGAGCGACTTTCTGACAGTCGCGAACACACGTCTGACCCCAAAACCCAAGTCTCGCGTGATCAGGCCGTACGAGATTACAGAGTGGGAGGGTTGCATGGAGAGCTGGAAAGACAAAACAAAAGCCACACATTTCAACCAACAGGCGCTGGTCGCTTTTTATTTTTTTGTAAATCAAAACACATTCGGTCGATTACCGTGTAACAACAACGCTTTGCACCATGCCTAGTAGCACATCTTTGCTGGAGGCCGACGAGGGAGAGTCCGAGGTCCCGCCGCCGCTAGAGCACGCTTTCGCCGGTATGGGCCTCGAGGAGCAGCACGGCACCCAGAGCCAGACCCCCGAACAAGCAGACGAGAACCTCACCTTTCACCACCACCACCACCACAACCACCACCACAACCACCAGCTGCCCGCGGTTCCTCATTTCAGCCTCCTCGGTACGGTCCTGGACCTGAAGCCGCTGCCTCCGCACCGGCCGCCCTCGGGAGATGAAGTGAACCTCACGGCGGCGCCCGACGACGAGGAGTCCGACGTCGGAGCCGACTCCTCGGTCTGCGGTAGCTTGTTGTTAGCGCAGGCCCACCTCCACCGACACCTCCCATCGGGGCCGGGTGGCTCCGGGATGCCGTCCGGGATGGAGCCGCCGCCGCCGCACGTCGAGACGGTGTTGCTGTACAACGGAGACGAGCGGGACGAGCCGGTCGGCGGCGGCGTCCTACCGACGACCGGCAGCATGGCGATGCTACCGTCCGGTGTGTACGGGGAGTCGGGCTACGAGGCCGAGCCGTCGCTGTTGAGTCGGCGAAAGAGCGTCAACACCACCGAGTGTGTGGCCGTGCCGAGCTCCGAGCACGTCGCGGAGATCGTCGGCAGACAGGGTGAGTCCTCCGCGGTCCGGTTCGGTTCGGTTCGGTTCGGTTGTTTTTGTTTGGGTTCGTTTAATAAACGTGAAGTTGTTTTAATGAGAGTTTGCAGGAAAGTTGGTGGGAAGATGGTTCAGGCAGCGGTAAAGAAAAGCAGAATAAAATGTGTGTGTAAGAGTGAGAACAGGGCAGTATATGAAATAAAGCTGTTCAGTTATGTTGGAATATTTTTAAAAAGTTAATAAAACGTGTAAGTTTATTAAATTTAAGTTTATTTAGTGAGACTCAAAGCAAGCTATGGGTGACTTGTTGTCACTTAGCTAGCTAGCATCACGAGTACGCGCTATTTTTTTACACAATTAACACTTTTTTTATAAGTTTAATACGGGACATCTTACAAGTTCTGATTGATTTTAAACACACATCTTTTAAAATATGATTAAACCAAACTATAACTCAGTATATTCAGCCGTGTTACCACAATCAACGTTAGCTATAAAACCTGCTAAACTAGCCTAGCACTCCTTCTAACTGGGTCAACACCACCCTCGCCCCAAAACACCCTCCACAAAGTTTACATCACAACTTATATCAACCACCAGACCCCCCCACCACCCTGTCGCTGTCTCCTCGCTTTGACAGCTCCTGTGTTTTATGGGTGTTTTTGTCACTGAGTCTGTCCTCAGTCCTCTTTGTCTCGGAGGAAACAGTGTGTTTGGTCACCATTGCTTTGCCACATCAGCTGTAGGTTATAGTTAGCTCCATGACATAACCAATTGCTTCGGAGTTCCTCTAAACACGACTTGGCCTTTCTTAGATAACCCACGCATTTATCTGGGCCTTTACATAAACTTTACACAGCTCAGTGTTTAGGGTTGGGAGAGTGTTATTATGTCGGCTCTGAGATCAGATGGGGGGAGGGTGCACAGACTGCAGTGTTGACAACAACAGGAAATGGCCCTGGTAATGATGTTGGACTCTCAACCACAGCTGGAGGAATATTTAATTTATAAGCTATGCAACTTCTTAATGACATTAGTAGCTGCATACTGAAATTGCATGTGCTGTGATCTTTTTGTGGTTCATTATCACCAGTATGTTTTGTAACGTGGTACATTTTTTTTTTTTTTAAAAACCGAATTTGGAAATAATCCAACTTTCCACCATATTTCTCCGTGTGTCTCTTTAACCCGGCAGGCTGCAAGATTAAGGCACTTCGAGCCAAGACCAACACCTACATTAAGACGCCGGTGAGGGGGGAGCAGCCTGTCTTTGTTGTGACAGGGCGCAAAGAAGATGTGGCCATGGCTAAGAGGGAGATCCTGTCTGCAGCTGAGCACTTCTCCCTCATCAGAGCCTCTCGAAACAAGACGGGCCCTCTGTCAGCTGCGACCGGTCCTGGGACCCCCTCTCTACCTGGACAGACGACCATTCAGGTCAGCGAGCATGTGATTATGAGTCACGGTGTTGGTCACCGTTAGAGATATGAAACAGACACTCTGAATCACTCAACGTCTTTCTAATAACTGAAGGGTTGAGTGTGTTTCCATACAAGTACGTTTGGTTTTTTTTTTTATAAAGGAGGCTTTGTGTGTTTTATGTTTTTGATTGTTTGTCGTTTAAAGTATGTCTAGTTACCCTGTGTTATTTCAACCCTACAGGTGCGGGTACCGTATCGTGTTGTAGGGCTGGTCGTGGGTCCTAAAGGTGGGTATTTTAATTCATTCTGATCCAGGTTTCATCTTTGCTATTTGTTTTCGATAATGATTTTTGTTTGAAAAAAACTACGAGCTTGTGTAGCACAGGTATGGACAGACGTGTGCCAGCATACACCAACAAAGCCAAACTGTAATTTTAGAACAAATTATGGGTTTCAATGGCAGAACAAGTGTAATTTCCTCATCAGGCGCAACGTGCAAAGTAAACCTGTATTTTGGTTTTTATTAAGTTAGGTTTGTTTTGCACAATGTGTATTTACAATAAGGCAATATATTTTAAATGTGTTCATGATTTTCATACTATGACAATGAGGTGTGGGGGACAGAAAAGCTCTCAAAAGGTGAATTTGTTCGCATTTAATTTGTGATATTAAAGTAATGCTAATTCTAATAATTAGGACACATTGCAATACTAGCCTATACATAACAAGTTTTTGTTTCTTTCAGAGAATCTTTACCTAATGTGTCTTAAGTTCCTCAGAGCTCTCAGATAGTTTTAATATGCTCAGCTCTACTCCAGGAGGTTACGTTTATTGCTGTCACCGAGTCTTTAACCCCTTGCCCTGTTGACATTCCCACCTCCGTGTCAGAAAGTCCTGGGGTTGATTTGTAAATTGAGCAGCAGTTCTCAACCATGTGCCATTAACCTGCAGAGGGTGAGGTAACAAGTCAAAATGACATCAAATTTTAAAATGGCGAGGAAACGCTGAGCTACACACACAGAAGAGGCAGTGTGGAAATATTTAGTGTTGACAAGACTGAGACAAAGTGTCTGACCATTCAGTTTGTGAATTCACTACACGATTTGTTTCTGTGCTGCTGCTTCTTCTTTTTTCTTTCTTTTTGCATATATTACACATATTGCAAAAGGAAATGAAAGACGTACATTATTTTTAGTATTGACATTTGAGAAGGTTCCTATACTGGACTGAAACTCAGTGTTTAGGTTGAGTGTTACGTACTTCAGACAGCTGAGTCACCAGGACCGCCTGCAGTTCAGTCCTGTAATTATTGCACAGCTGTGCTTCTTCCAATTTTAATGTTGGATGTTATTGTTAGAAAGAAACAAGCGTAATTACTGAAAATATATAACGCTGTTGTTGTGCCGTCTTTAGCATTACTCTGCTTTGGCTAATTTGTCAACTTGACACAACTGGGTCAAGCTGTAGTGAAGACGGGACAAAGTACACAGATCTGTGCACGGTTTTGTTTTCTAATTTTCTCCAGCTAATATATTTAGCACTAGTAATACTTACCTATTCTTTTCTCCTAGATACTTAACTACTCTTTTGTCTTCTTCAACGTGTTATTTGTGTTTGAGTTGTAGTACAATGGTCATATCTTTCAGGGGCAACCATCAAACGTATTCAGCAACAGACCCACACCTACATTGTGACACCGAGTCGTGACAAAGAGCCAGTGTTCGAGGTCACCGGGATGCCGGAGAACGTGGACCGGGCGAAGGATGAGATAGAGGCGCACATTGCCCTCCGCACAGGCACCTGCGGAGGGATTGAGGCTCCTGGTGTGGACAACAATGACTTTCAATTCAACGGGACAGACGTCAGCTTTGAGACTTCTGCGATGCCAGTAGGGATGGGGGAGGCTGGGTGGCTTCATGCTGGTGCATCATCACCGGGTGGCGGTGGCTTGCTGCCAATGAGCATCAACGGTACTCAGCGAATCAATAGCAATATTAACAGTGGTGTCAGGATGTCTTCCACCTACCGCAACGACAGCTCCAGTTCCCTCGGCAGTGGCTCCAGCTCAGCTGATTCCTTCCCTGGCAGTGGGAATGGTAACCGGATGGCAGATTTCAGCCCGACCTGTGCGTTTAACGCCAACGCCAACAACAACAACAGTAATGGCGGCAGTGCGAGTTTCTGGTTTGGCGACAGCCTTCTTCCTGTGGGGTCTGAGGAGCTCGTCACCCTGGGAGGCGGAGGCTCTTTGTCGGGATTTGACCCGTTGACCATCTCCACTGCCCAAGCCCCGCACCCTGGTGCACAGCCGCAAGTCTGGAGCCCCTTTGTGGACCACCAACCCCCCCAGACCTTTGATTCTCGCCAGTCTCAGGTGGGTGAAATTCAGTAGGAGCATAATGCTTATGGCACCCTGCGTAGATGTTACAGAACCTCACAGGTTAAAGCAAATTACAGTTTTAATCTTTTATTGTAGACAACATGCTTTGGCTGTTTGTTTATTTATTTATTTTAAATGTGTAATCTGAGAATCGGGTTGAAACAGGAGTTTTTAAGATTTTTTTTATTTTAAAAAAAAATAATTGTCATCTAATGACTGTTGTCATCGTCGATGTCTCCAGACCAGTCAGCCTGGGACTCCCCGGCTCTCTCCAACCTTCTCTGGGACAGAAGCCTTGGAGCACCCTCAGGCCCAGCGCGTTCACAGAGGGCCGCTCGTCTCGGCTGGGACCCTCGATGCCCACAGGTTCCCCTCCTACAGCTCGGCCTTCTCCTCCTCCAGTGAAAGCACCGCCTCCTCTTCCTCCCCTCCCGAATCCTCCCTTTCCTATCGACCGGGGCTCGGATCAGCAGTGAGAGGACAGGAGATCTGTATCCACTGTATGGATAACCAGGTGATCGCTGCCTTGGTTCCCTGCGGCCATAACCTCTTCTGTCTAGATTGTGCCACCAACATATGCCAGGGTCCAGATGCTGTCTGCCCTGTGTGCCTGTCCCCGGCCACACAGGCCATTCAGCTCCGCAATTTGTGATTTTAATCCATTTACCTTGATGGCTGATGAGGGATCAGCATCCCCGACTCTTTCAACTCATAACATGTCTGGGGAAATTACAAAACTGACCCCAAATCAGTATCTAGGTGTGTCCTCATCCCGGTTTTGTCCAAGCTGGTGTTTGGTTGACAAAGGTGAGGGTGAATAGGTGAATAAGGAATGATCTGTATTTAGGGCATGGGTAAGGGTGTGCAGCCCGTTCATGTGCCTGCTATTGTGAAGTCTTCTTCCTTGATTGATCAATGGGAGGGTTGGAAACCCTCTGTGTAGCATTGGGTGGGGTGGGATATATATATATATATTTTTTTTTTTTTTTTTTATTATTTTTTTGCTCATCATGATTTTTGATTTACATTTTCTTCTCCCTGAAATATCTAGTTATCAGTTTCTGCCTACCTATATTTTATTACATTTTTAATGTACTTTATATTTTATTAGATACATGATGTTGGCTTTTGGGTCAAAGTTTTTTTCTTTTTTTTTTGTCTACATCTCAAAAGTTTTATCCATTTTTTAAAATTTTGTTTTGCTGCTACATTTGTTTTTATGTGCTTACATATGGCCCAACCCCTTTGCCTCTCTATTATTGTGCTCACAGCAGGACATTTTAAAGGAAAAAAGATGAGGTGAGCATGTTTACATATAGTGAGTCCCACATATGAATATGTATAAATTAATAGTATTCTTCTGGTAACCACAGAATCTGAATGCCTTCTGTAGTAAATTGGATATAATGTACACATACCACACTATCCAGGCAAATGCCACTCTATCCCAGATGATTTGCGTAAATACTACCAGGCTGTTGATGTCTATCTGTGCTACTTTTAAACA